GTTTTATAAGTTTAATAAAAATCTGTCTTACATATTTTATTACTGAAATTTTATCCACTATGTGATTGACTTTTGTCCACATTATTGATATACAATAATGGATAAGTTGATATTACAATATACAGTAGTATTCCATTTTATTCACAGCCATTACTGTGATTATAATGGAATGAGGTAAAAATATATTGATTTGGTATCTGAACCTAGAGAAAACATCCAAAAACTGCAGATATTTTCTCCAGGTCTGTTATTGAGATCTGTTCTAACATGATTCTATTGTATAGTACTGTAATAGACTTTTCAATATAAAAAGACAAGTCTGTAATAAGGAGTAATCAGGATAAAATGAACTTTTATTATAACAGACTGATTTCTTTGGTCTCATAGTTCATTAAATCAAGCTGTTACTGTATTTGGTAATCAATAAATTCTATAATTACATAAAATCTTGTTAAGAATGAGATATTAGAAAAATACATGAAAAGTTAGATTTTTTTTATTGTTTTGCAGTGGCGTCCTGTGACATTTGATGATCGGGAAGCTGTGTTTCTGTAAGAAGCCAACTTCCAGAGGCAATCAGTTAATTGTGCATCAGTGATGGTCTAGGCCAGGGGTCGCCAAAGTGGTCTATATCGACCCCCAGGGGTCGATGCAACATCATTGGGGGGTCGATGCGGCTAGGGGGTCGATTAGGGGGTCGATGTGGCAATGGGTTACAACCTTGTTTTTTTTTCTTATACAGATATCAGAGATCACAACGTATTTTATTTTGCTCATACACTTACACTTATAATAAAACTTTACGGTGGGGGTCAATGTGAGGTTTTGGAAAGTGGTTGGGGGTCGACAGTTAAAAAAGTTTGGCGACCCCTGGTCTAGGCCCTCTAGGGTCCATTCGTATTCATTTGTTCAATAAACTAGTAAAAACAGTAGACTTCTCTAATAGTATTTTTAATAGATTATCTGACATACAAAATAAACAAGTTCAATATAATTATCTTTGTTATTAGATTCAATAGATTCCCTATGCCTTCTAAATGCCAATTCTTGCTTTGATAAAAAACATATTATATCTAAATTAATAGATGTTATATATCTATTAGCTGTAACTATCTTGTTATAATTTTCAATATTTATTTTATATTATTTACTAATGTTAATAGATTGTCATTCATTGTTTTCTAACTAATTTGTTTTACAACCAGGTGTCCATGGAAATTTCCAAAATTTACAACTTTTCAGTCATTCTCATTGAACTGGAAACATTTCTGTCTTTATTACATCTAATATTATGAAGAAATCAGTC